CCTTCTCTTGGTTCTTTCTCCCTTTTTCGTTGGTTAACCACTATTTTTCAGTTAAACCACCATTTGCTCCTTTTTATTTGGTTAATCATAGTCTATCTATTAACATACAGAGTCATTCTTGGGTTAATCACCTTCTCTTGGTTAATCACCCGTTCCTCATTTAACCGCAGTCTATCTGTTAACATATTGAGCTTCTCTTGAGTTAATCGCCGTCTATTGGTTAATCACTCTTTCTTCTTGGTTGATCACAGTTCTTATGTTAAAACCAATACCCAGTGAGTTAGTAATCTTCTTTTGGTTCAAATACTCGCGCCTTTAGGTTAGTAACCTTCTTTGGTTTAAATACCCTTTTTCTTCGGCCAGGTACTGCTTGTTCAGTCAGTGTACCAAACTCCTTTTTGGGTCACAACCTTCGCTTGAATCCACACCCGTCTTTGGGTCACAACCTTTTCCTGGTTCCACACCCGTCCTTGGGTCACAACCTTCACTTGTTTCCACACCCTTCCTTTTTGGTTAATCACTGTCCATCGGTTAAAAACCAACTCCTTTTTATTTTCGGTTAACCACTGTTCATCAATTAACACACCGAGTCCCCTAGAGAGTCAGACACCTTCTTTTGGTTCATTACTCTCCTTTTGGTTCATCACAGTCCGTTTATTGACACCAACCTTGTTTCTTTCCCCATATAGTCATACTCTTTTATTGCTTCGATTAATCACTTCCTGTCAATTAATATACTGAACCCCCCATGGATCTTATCTTGTCTCGATTCAATTTCCTTTCTCCTTTTCTTCCGTGGTTCCATGAACTACGGAGCTCTGAGTTCCTCATTGTACTATAAGGATACATAGGCACGAGGGTCCCAATCCTCCGTGAGCACTCTTTTTGTCCCTTTCCTGCTCCTTCTCTTTAGCTAGTAGCCTTTAGATAGATAACCCATCCAAACCTAGAAGTAGGCAAAACTGTTCTCGTTGAGTACGACGGATGCGCGGGGTGCTAGTACCTTCCTTTCACATAACCGACCCCCTTACTCGTTTCTCTTCCCTTTGGGTTTTATTGATATTTTCCATGTCCTTTGGGACTAAATAAAGTTTGGTGGCGACTGTGTTGTATCTTTGAGTGTTCGATTCACTCAAGTATAATCCCACTAGCTTCAGTCAACAACTCCACTTGTTATGAAAGCAACTTGTTTTGTGCAATAATAACATCATTAATATCCAATTCAAGTACTTCTAGCTTCCTTTAAGTTGTACCACAGTTATGTTGACAATGATTGTTATTGAGCACCATCCTATCAATGATGAAAATTGCATCTTCCGCACTCTTTGACATTAAAGACCCACCCGATGTAGCATCTAAGAGAGTTTCGTGAACCGGTTGGAGTCCATTCCAGAATATATGCACTTCTGTAAGATCATTAAATCCGTGGCCTTTACATTTCCGCACATTGATTTGAACCTCTCCCAAGCTTCATTGAGAGATTCACTACCATCTTGAGAAAATACAGAAATTGTCATCTTAGCCTCCATAAATATATTGTGAGGAAAAAATCTTTCAAGAAACTTTTCCTCCAACATATTCCAATCCGTAATCACAAGAGTAGTTTGATAAAGATGAAATTCCTTAGCTTTCCCTATCAATGAGTGTGGGAATAGTCTCTTGAACAATCATTCTTCTTCCACTTTTGGTGCTCCTGTTGCTCATGCAATTTCATAGAATTTAATGAGATGAGTAAACGGGTCTTCATGATCTAGCTTTGTAAAGGGATTTGAATATAAAAGTTAAATAATTCTCGTCTTCATCTCCGAGTGCCTTCCGTTGTTTGCATTGTGAGCAAACTGAGCATTGTGTCTTGGACTATTAGTGCATGGACCGCTGAGAGATGGTGGTGGTGGTGGTGGTACTTATTCCATGATTGGCGTAACAATGGGTGTAGTTGGTGGATTACTTAAAGAAGTTCATTCACGCTCCTTTCTTTCTTTAGCTAGTAGCCTTCGTCTTCTGGTTTTACTATTAAGTTTACGCGCAGTTCTATCAATCTCAGAATCAAATAGAAGTTGGTCTGTGGACACACTTCCTCGCATATACAGTTTTCTAAAACACTAACCAAACAAATTAACAAGCACAAGGAATATAAATAGAGGTGAGAGATGACAATACAAAGCTTAAAACACTATAAACTATTGCAATGCTTGCAATATCAATCAACAATCCCCGACAACGACGCCATTTTGTTAAGGGTTGATAGATAAATGAGGGCTTTGAAAATCGTCTCCACAGGGATTGTAGTGATATCGCTTGCTGTTCTGCAGTTTATGATATTTTAAGTAGGGTTTTCAAAGTTTGTTTGTTTTGGATCATAATTTTGTCATAAATTTTGTTTAACAAGACATATCAAAGATATATTTCATCAATCTAACTTGTATATATTTGATTAATCAAGCATGTGAATTCGTTTTCAATTAATATAATCGTGTATCCTCTTAATACCGTATATGTCTAGAGCGATGTCATGAGTATTATTGTATCCTTCATTAGATGATGTCTCACGCTAACAACAAATACAATAATCTTTAAGATCAACACAAAGCAAATATCAACTCACAAATCTATGTCTAGAGTTTGTGTGTTGATAGTTAAATATTTTAGATCAAGGCTTGTAAAATTTATGTCTAGAGTGATACAAATCATAAATAGATCTTTTAGAACAAAAACATTCAACATATATTAATCATCCACTTGTTCACATGCACATAGATCAAAAGAAGTACATACAAGCTAAGATAGACTACATCTACCTTTGATACAACGAATTTAGTTTCCCATGACCACGGTAGCTTGATTCACAAAAAAAGAAAGAAGATGAATGAGCATCTAAGATGAAGAATCGATCTAGGATGCGAATCCAACTTCTACTTGTAAAATATCACTCATTAATGAAGAAATGATGAACTTAGGGTTTTTCCTCCCAAGCCAATGTTACTCTTGCTGAAAAATGGTGTTATGAGGTTATGATCCCCAAAAAGTGATAAATAGTACAAAAATATATAAACAGAATATGTCATGTTCGCACTGCGAGCTCCCTGTTCGCACTGTGAACTTCACTTATAGACACTTGAAGTGCCTCTGAGTAGTTAAACCGCCCTTGAAGATTCTTTGACTTTGCATTACGAAGCTCATGTTCCCACTGCGAACTTCTTCGCCCATATCTCGCACTGCCATCAACAAGGGGTTTATCTATTACCATACAAATGTTTCAGCTCACTTTGGCCTCGCCTTGAACTTGCACTGCAAGCTTGCATGCGCTTCGCTACTTGCTCGCACTACGAACCTACTAGATTCTCTATAATTTCTTTGGATTCCTTGTCCATTCAATTGTGTCTTGTTCTTTGATAATTCAACCTAATTTTTACACAATAGCACACATATCAAGGCATCCAAAGGTAAAATCAATTTCATTGAAGAATCACAAGAGAACATGAAATAAACTTAAAACTTGAGAAATACGTTGAAAAATGCCAAGAATAATGGTTCAAAATAAGACATATTTGGCATTTAGCATGTATCACTTGTGTTCTACGTAAGTCAGCTTTGACTACAACAGGTATGCCAGAATCATTATGATACTTTATATTTAGGTGGACGAGGGAGGTCACGATGTCTAGAGTTGTCAGGAATGGTCAATCGAGAATGAAATTGTAAACATTTTCACATGAGATCACAAAGAAACAAATGTTCACGACTCTCTTGTTATTCCCCATCCCAAGGAGAGAGGCAGGCAACCCTCTCCACGCGGATGAATGAAAAAATCATTAAACGCTAGGAGGCTCTGGCCTTCACACAACCTCAAATTTTGATTTCTTAAACCTAACTTAGTAAAGATTCTGAAGTTGACTATGTTGTAGAAACTTTTGCCATCCACAAGGATCCTTGAGATGGAGTGATTGGCGATAATAGCGATAATGATCAGCAAAAATGTCGCATTTGAAGTCCCATTCACCTTTTCATAATCTCGAAACCCTACGACTGACCAATTATTTTCATGCTTCTTATTTAGAGAGGTTGTTTTAACAAATCTATACGATGGGAATCCTATTTGCCTGAACATATCTCCATTGATCATGTTTATGGCAAAGGCTGAAGAAGAGTTTGATCTGGAGGATTTTGATGGATATTTGGGAAGGAAATTTGAAGTTTCTTTCATCTTAACGTATCTGTTAATGCGGTCAATGTTTGAATTGGAGGAGATTTGATTGATTAAGAGATATCCTATTAAATCAAAAATTTGATTGTGAGATCTTGTAGAAATCAAAAGTCGATTCTTATAGACTACATCAGTTCATGAACCATAATTGTTGGTGCAGATTCTTAATGCATTGATGCAAGCTACTCTGGTGCGGGTGTGCGTGATAGAGAGAATTATGAGTACATATCATACTTATTTACTGCTCCGTGATATATATGCAATGAACGATTATTGATCATATACAGTATTGGGCATGTGGCTGACCCAAAAATGATTTCTTAACTTTTAAAACAATTTTAAATTTATTTTTGACAACAAACATATTCAAAATAAATTAATAAAAATTGGTTCAATTAATAATAAGTTGACTCATTTAGTATTTAAAAAATAAATAAATTCAACTATTAATACGAAGATGTCTCGAGACGTAAATGGACCCAAAATAAAATATACTACGAGTTTTAAAATGTAGTACGAATTTAAAGGCCATACATCATGATATACGTGTACCAGAAATTTCCATCCAGTGCTGTATAATTAATGAGAGTTGAGATAGGCGGCCTCACAACGGCAAACCATAAATGAAACAATAAATTCTATTTTGTGTACCACAATCCTCTTGATCCAATCAATGTCAATTTTTCAACCATACTGTTTCATCTTCACACGTTACTACTACGTTCCTCTCACACCTTTGCCTATATATACATAAAACGACACAGATCCTAAACACAGAAAGAGACACACACTAATAATGGGTAATGTTTGCTTTGGGAAGAAGAGACACAACAAGGGAGTGGTGCACCCTGTAGTAGTTCACCGACGTCAAGCCGTGACAATCAAGGTACGAATGACCAAAGGCCAACTCAAGGGTTTAATGGAGAAGGTGGATACCGGTAATGATATCGATGATACAGAATTAGGCCGTTTGATTGTTCAAGAATGCTCTAAAGGGAAGCTTCGTGCTAGTGTTGTAGGTGCTGCAAATGGGGAGAATGATCATTCTTCCAAGTTTTCAAGAGGACAACAAGGTTTAAGGCCAATTCAAGAAGAGAGTGAAGAAAGATATCATGATGTATAGGTGATATGTTTAAATAGTAAGTATATAGTACTAAGTTTATGATGAAAGCATTATTGTAAGTTTCTGAGTAATGTTTTCATAGATAAAGAGTTGAAACAAATTGGTAGTATATCGAAAAGTTACAGTACTATACAGTTTCCATTATAAAATTTATTTATGATGACGCTTTTATTTACTATAGAACAAGATCTTGTGAATGGTAATTTTTTTTTTTTAAAAAATTTTATCCTTATTTTATTGACTTAATTGTACTTTTTATCTCTATTTATAACACTCGCGAAAATAATTTTTCTATTTCAAAATTGAACTTACTATTTGATATCTATTGTTAAGTTTAAAAGTTAGTTGAAGAATGGGAATGGATAGAGTGATTTTACTATTTTGTAGCTTTGGTGACTTTAGTGTAATTGAAACATGTATGAATCATTAAAATAAATTATTTTGATAAGAGATGATATTTGGTTTAGAAAGAGATGGAGACAAAATCACGAAAGTCACCCAATGCTAAAGTCACATAAATCTTATCCGTCAAAGGATATGCTAATTGCTCTTAACATTCCAATCAAGTGATTGATGCTAATTGCTCTTAACATTTCAATCAAGTGATTGTACCGAGAAAGCAACTTTGTCCGTTGTGGGTTTCTTAACTGTTGAAGGATATGTTAATTGCTCTCAACATTCTAATCAAGCGATTGTACCAAAAGAGCAACTTTGTCCGTTGTGGGTTTCTCAACTATGTCATTAAGTACGGGTGTGTGGATATTTGAACTACTAAACTAGAAAATACAAAAAAGCTAATAAAAGAAATAAAATGCATAAAAATGCTTGATTGATTGATTTGATGTGTTCAATATTTTACAAGTTGTAATATTTATAGAGGAAATGATTTTATCGTCATAGAATCGTGGTCTAGAAAATGTTGTTTCATTTGACTATTTTTACGTATAATACATGCAAGGGCGACCCAACACATCTTGAAGTATGAAGCAAAAATTTAAAATTAAATATTTTAATATAATACAAATATTTTTATTTCAATTATTAAATTATTCTAATCAATTTGATCTAATATTTTATTTTCAATTGTAATAAAATCAACACGTCTAAACACTCTGCTTATCATTTAAAAAAATCATGATTGAAAGTTTTTTGCCAAAATTCTTTAAAAAAACTTAAATTTCAAGTATTCTTTTATGTAAGAGAACTTAAAAATGTATTATTTATAAATATGACTTTTAACAAAGTCGTCTTTAAAGACATGCAAGCAGATTATCAGACACAGTTCAAAAAAAATTATGGTTAAATCGTGGCTCACTAGGTCCTTATTTATTTTCTAAAATTAAACTATGATAAACATACAGAAGACCTATGAAAATTTAAGACAATCTTGATTTTTAAAATAACCAATTATACAACACATATCCTAAATGCTTGTTATTACCATAAATTCTCAATAGATGTTACTGTATTACATTATTTAATTAGTATAGAAAATAATTTAAAAGATTTTTATAAAAAAAAGTCAGTTAATTAGAATTATATAAATATTATAAAAAATGAGGCCCTAGGCGGTGGCCTACCCCTAAAGTCAACCCTGAATACATGAGTGTTATCTTTGTTTGGGATACATATGGCTTTCCACGATCAGTTGGTCTTCCTATCTCTACTTCACTCTCCACTACCATACTAAGGGCATGCTTTATTGTCCAAATTATGCCACACTATGATTACTGACGCCTAAAAATATAGAATACAACCTCAATAACTCATACTTTACTGAGATTTGACTTTTCCCTGCACCTAATGTCACTCGTGGCCTCCAAGAAAGATGTAGTTTTGTTTTGTTTGGATCTAGTTTAACTCGCCTAACCCTGACTCGGTTAAGGAACGTTTGACAACCCTAAAATTCAGTGTCTATCGATTTTGACAACTACTTTAATTATTTTCAGGTGTAAACAAAAGCCCATGTATTTTATTGTTGAATAACTGTTAGCCTCTAAGAAGATGCGACATAAATCTTCCATGTTGCACTTGAATAATGTCATCATTGTGCCATAAAAAATAGAAAACAAGTTATTGTAAATACTATCTTGACTTACGAAAAGGTAAAAACTATATACACTTCATTTTCAATGGTCACCTAGATCTTTTGAATATCCTTAATCTCTTTTTACAAATAACTTCAGTTGATCCCTCATTTATCTTTCTTCTTTGTTCTCATTTATCTCTTGACATTCTATTGTGCATTATGACCATATCTTCCCAAAATTCTAATCAAAGAAAAGGATCTGTCATCTTCTCCTAGTACACATTCATCTTGCTCTTCATTTGTCTTTATCAGACGTTAACATGTCTGCCTTCTTTTTGAATCCCATTATGATGGGAACAAGATCATAAATAAATACATATAAAATAGTTTCATATCATATTGACTATAAACTCTCATTGGCTTGTGAGTCGTTCAACCCATGGGAGACCAAGAAAACTCAAAACATATATTCATTTAAATGTTGATTATTTGAATAAGCTTTTTAGAATACAACTAAGATAGGAAAAGTTTGTAAATGGTGGTGGATATACTATATTTTAATGTTTTTTAAGGAAAATATGACATTCGATATGGATAACTTTATGGCTTCCTCACCTACTGATCAAGTAACACCTTCGTATTTCTAAAGGTATGATGATCCTCATACTTCTGAATGTTGTAGTCATGTTTAACTTGTCAATCATTATAAGTGAGCCCTTTATTGCCCATAACCTCATAACTCTATACATAGATTTCATTTATCCAAGTCCATTTCTACCTACTATTCTTTCTTGGCGCATAACTTTATGAATTTAGGCTAAGTCTCAAATTTCGATCACAACACTTTCTTATTGTATTGATTCAACAATTTTTTCCTTTTGTAGAGGGTCTTTAGTCAATGTCTAAGAGTTGCATATGTAACTACTCTTTTACATTCTGAGAAAAATATTATTGGAGCTCTTTATTCGTCTCATCTTTTATCGTTCCTTGTACAATATTTTGAATCGATTAAAGAATGAAAAAGAAATAAGCACCATAACTGGTCTCATATGGTTTCTTTAACTTTGGTATAATGTTTGTTAAATTTATGCATGAATAACCTATCTTAACCTTGACTTTTCATTAGCAATTTCGCAAACAAGAACTGGTTTAGGATCTTGACAACCAGTGACCTATTTTGCGCGTTAAAATAGAGAAGCATGAAGAACAAAACATCATTAGAGTATTACAACCCCTTATGCGTCTCTAAGAAATTTGGAGACACAGAACATACACCATCACTTATTCAAAAGGATATTTATTTTATTTTGTAATTTCAATATACCATTTTTGTCTTTATGTCTTTCACCTTTTCAATTTAACCTTCCGTCACAGTAAGTTTCTGACTAAAGTTATCATAGATAAAGAGTTGAATCAAATTGGAAGCATATCGAAAAGTTACAGTATTATACAACTTCCATTATAAATTTTACTTTTAGTGATTTTTTATTTGCTATGGAACAAGATCTTCTGAATGGTACTTTTTGAATTATCCTTATTTTATTGACCTAATTGTACTTCTCGCTCTATATTTAAAACACTCGTGAAAATAATTTCTCTATTTTAAAATTGAATTTACTTTTTCATATCTATTGTTGTTAAGTTTGAAAGCTAGTCTAAGGGATTCTTTCCAAGCGATTGTAATGAGAAAGTAACTTTATCCATTGTGGGTTTGCCAAATAGTATATTAGTATTGAGTATGGGTGTGTGAATATGTGAACTACTAAATTAGAAAATGCAAAAAGGTAAAATAAAATAAATAATTAAAATGCATAAAAATGATTGATTAATTGATTTGATGTGTCCAATGGTTTACAAGTTGTAATATTTATGGAGGAAATTATTTTATTTCCATAGAATCATAGTCTAAAAAATATTGTCTCATTAATACATGAGTGTTATCTCTATTTGGGATATACATGGCGTTCAACAATCAATTGGTCTTCCTATCTTCACTCCACTCCCCACTGCCATACTAATTGTATGTTTTATTATCCAAATTCTACTTGTGTGTTACTCGTCAACTATGATTAGTGACGTCTAAATATATAGAACACAATCTCAACAAATCATACTTTACTGAACTCTAAAAATAGAAAAACTATTTGAAATCTATTAAAACTCTAATAATATCTAAAATAGAAAATAAAGGATAAAACTATCAAAAATCTAAATTCTATGCTAAAAGTTAACACAATAAAATCTAGAAAATTAGTAATAATTCCAATGCAAACCAATTAAAGCAGTTAACAAAAAATGCGAGAATGTAATGAAATAACCGGTAAAACACGGATACCAAAATATCCTCCAAAAATAACAGCAAAGACTAAATCACCAGGAAAAGCACCGCTTCCAAAATAAACCTGCTTATTCGAACTGGCTTGAAGCGCCTGAAACGCGAGAAAAGGGCTGTAATCCTGATAACATCAATCCGGCTGAAAAAAATACACAATATGCGATATGCAGATGCAAATGCAAATGAAACGAAACATAAGCCAAATTGTTAGAAACTGTTGGTCAAATTTTGGGGTACAACAACAACTACATTACTTATTTTTCAAGTGTAAATAAAAACTCATGTGTTTTATTGTCGAATAACTATTAGCCTCTAAAATGATGCAACATAAATCTTCCATGTTGCACTTGAATAATGTCATCATTGTGCCATAAAAAATAGAAAACTAGTTATTGTAAATCTTACATTGACTTACAAAAAGGTAAAGACTAGATACATTTCATTTTCAATGGTCACCTAGATCTTTTGAATATCCTTACTCTCTCTTTACAAATAACTTCAGCTGATTCCTCACTGAGTTTTATTCTTCACTATCTACTTTGACCCTTTTGAAAAATTCATTCTTTTTATCCTTCTTATCTGTTCCCATTTATTTCTTAACATTCTATCGTGCATTATGACCATGTCTTCCCAAAA